AAGGTTGCATCTCTCAGTTAATGAGATCCTCAAGTAGGTATGCATCCTAGCAAAAGAATCAACAAGCATATCTGAGAGGGGAGTACTTGCTTGAGGAGCTTCAGATAACATATTTGCACAAGAAGTAGCATATGTCTTTGAAAAGAGTTCATCCTGAGAATGATTAACCCTGTGTCACAAATTCCTCCTGATAACAGTGGTGAATTGATATTGGGTGTTGATGAGGGTGCGCGAAATGGACCTGCCATCAGGCATTCCAGAAGTCACTGCCAAGAACTTACCCAAAAAAACAGAACCAAGTTGCCAACAAACCATGTAGTATGCAGCACTGGATATTACCTTTACAGTTTAGAATTGCTCAAAGAAACTATTTGATGCCACGTAGCAATCATTCAGAAATTTAGCAAGAAAGGCAGCTATACATGTATAATCATCATTACCATGAAAGCTGAATTTACAATCCGTATGTAACAACTACATAAAGAATAAGTGCATGTGGCTGAACCTTAAAGAACAGAAGAACTTATCACAGTGACATTAAAAAACACATTTTATTTTTTTTTTTATTTTTGGGGGTGAAATACAACATATTGCTGATAGGTACGAATATAGCAGCACTCATCTCAAGTTTACCGAACTAAAGAGCAATTCCAAGACGTTTAGCCATATATTGGCACCTCAATTAACCAAAAAAGCTGTCTCCTCACTGGGATAACCAAGGGCATGATGTATTACCTCTTCCAGCTATCTCCCTTCAATGACTAAAGCTCCCAAAGATTAAGAATAACCTGAAATCATAGAGAAAATCAAGGACAACATATTCTCCAGAATCCTTCTCTGATTGCCCTTTAATAAGGTATGCATACCACACCTCACATCTCTCACTATTCCCAATTCCCCGTAGCAATACTTTGCTCAAGTACACACCAGATGAGCTTTTCCATCTCCTTCTGCTCTATTTTCTGCCATGCACTGTATAGCACCTCCTTATAGTTTGTCAATGTGAAAGGAAAGTATATATTGTATATCCGGTTAATATAGAAGGTGTATATTGTAATCAGTAAATATGGGAAGGGTAGGATATTGTGTCCTATATTTTATGGTAAGTCTGGGTATAGTTTAGGTGTCTATGATTTAGTTTCTACTAGTGTCATATGTAATTTGTCTATAAAAGACATGTCTGTATATTCATATCAATTAATGGACACTGAGTCTCTTCAGAGAAACCTGAGACTCTTCACATGGTATCAGAGCCAAACTCATCTTAGTTGTGTCCATTCCTTGTCCCTGAAGCATTGACGCCGATTTTCAAGACGAGTTTGTTGCTCACCTAGTCAGTGCAACTTCTATCGAGTCGTGTTTTGACTCCCTGATCTGTCTTCTCTGCCGAGTCGTGTTTCGACTCTCTGATATGTCTCTCTGTCGAGTTGTATTTCGACTCTGTGATCTATCTCTCTGTCGAGTCGTGTTTTGGCTCTCGGATATGTCTCTCTGCTGAGTCATTTTTGACTCTTTGATCTGTTTTTCTCTTTGGGATTGTTTACAATTTCTGTTCCTGAGTCCATCTGCTCCTGAGGCTTGTTGATCCGCTACTGCTTTCTGTGCTTGTTGATCAAGCAATCTGAGTATGACAACCACTGCATGCATTGGTCATGCCATACACCTAAAGTTCCAACGGCTCGTTTCCACAAATAATCTTCAAACTCCAGCTGCTCTCTCTCATAGCATCTTGAGTTTGAGGGGGAGTGTGAAAGGAAAGTATATATTGTATATCCAGTTAATATAGAAGGTATATATTGTAATCAGTAAATATGGGAAGGTTAGGATATTGTATCATGTATTTTATGGTAAGTCTGGGTATAGTTTAGGTGTCTATGATTTAGTTTCTATTAGTGTAATATGTAATTTGTCTATAAAAGACATGCCTATATATTCATATCAATTAATAGACACTAAGTCTCTTCAGAGAAACCTGAGACTCTTCATAGTCAAAAGATTGTCAACACTAAACCCTTTAAATCCTTAGTAGTAACTATCCATGAAAAGATACCTACCTAATTTGGTCCACAAATGCGAACCACCTTATCACTCACTGCTGTATATCGTATTATTCCATTCTTCCATAACAGATCAAGTTAGCAGCTGTCCAAAGTCTCACCCGAACAACAACAAGAAAGCTCAAATTATGTCCCCAAAAATCAAGGTACAAGGACTTGTCAACTAGTTCTTCATCAAACACAACCTATATAGAAATCTCCAGTGTCATGAATTGTTTCCTATGATAATCTTATCGCTTCGAACCAGCTACCAAAACAAAGAGTATCTAAGAGGAGACTGACCCACCACACATAATTGCTACCCTAGAACCACAAGAAATGTAGTAGAGGCACCAAACTGAGAGAACAGCCCAATCTCAAATACATTGACTTTCCCAGGTCAGTACACAAACACTTCAACACAAAACAAGAAAGCTCGTTAACAGCTGATTCTCAGATCCCTCCTAAAGTGGAAACACAACACCTTACTTCCCCACCTATCAAGACGTCCACAACCCTAACATTACAACTCCAGCAATTAATATTTTTTTTTAGGGTAATTCAGTGGGGATGACAGGCCCCTATCCGTTTATGAATTAGTTAATGGTCTTTGAAGCCGTCAATGGGAATGAAAGCCACATACGACCACGACCTTAGCCCCTTTCCCAGCAATTAATGATTCACCAAAACTAAACCCTTCGCTACCACCACAACCTCAACCCCTTTCCCACCAATTAATGATTTACCACAACTAAACTCTTTCTTAAGTTAATCTTTTGCCAAATGCCATCTACTGGAACCTTAGCACAAAAAAGAGGTCAATCTAGCTAGGTCGAGAATGCATCATACAAAACAAAAGAACCAAGCACAAACTGCAAGTGGGAGATAGCGATGATGATCCACTCTGTGCTGCGGAGCCTTCTATAGAGCCATGGCAACCTACTCTCCTCAACAGGAAAAAAGGCAAAAAAACGAAAAACAAAAAGGAAAAAAAAAAAGAAAAGAAAAAGAATGTTTCTAACTTGATTGGGAAAAGGAAATAATATAAGGGTAAACCTATTTCTGTGAAAGTGCCATACAAGATTGCCAAACACTTATGAGAAGAATCGAGAAACAAGGCTAGAAATATACTCTCTAATTACCTTTCTTTGCCTCATATTCCTTCCCTTCCAATACATAATCGAAACAGATCCAAAACACAAGTTCACATTTTCCATATCCAACTCAAGCAAGAATTTTTTTTCCATTTATGAGTTCAAAAAGGCTCACAAAGTATGAATCTATTTTGCAGTAAGAGCTCTCACAAATAGCCTATTGTATCGGATCAAAAGATGTGTTTCTTCATGAGAATCAAACCCTCCCAATGCTTGATACTGTAAGGAGACTATCATCTTTAGACTCCAGGGTTGTCTAAAGTTAATGGAAGAATGTAAGCAGTGAATAGGGAAGTAAATTTCGGCAGATGGTTAATTGGTAAAAGGCTCATTGTGGATGGTAGCAGCGGGAGATCTTGATTTGAGCCCCTCAGGAAGTTGCATAATCGAATGTTACTACAAGGTTGGTCTTCCATCTGTTCATGCAGTATGAAATTTAGACAAAGAAGAAAAAGATAAGAAGTGCTTGTGACATCTTTAACAACAGGGGGGAATCCACCTCTCAAGGTGGATCAATTCATATACGGAGTAGAACAGGAATACTCCATTTTTTCCTTAATCTGAAGTTTCTTGCCATAATCTGAGACACAATGAACTGAACATTAGATACATCTAGCATCACTGCATCAGGCCCTGAAATTTGGGAAATTTTAGAGGAACTGGAGGTTGATGTGATGAGGTTTTCAGTGCGAAACTATCACTCATAAAGTCAGTCTACCCTTTTCCTTTCGAATGAGGAATGATAGAACAACAATATTTTGAAAGGGGAGGTTCAAGATTGAAGCTGAACAAGAATTAGAAAAATGAGATTGGAATGCTTTTTACAAATTTATGAGTTAATGAAACTGTGTATTTAATTAACACTAGCATTTAAGGGAATGAATGAGTAAATTTTGTGCTCATGGCACGATGGTCAAGACATTTAGGAAGCCAAAAGAAATTGTGCAGTACAAGAACCACAATTTTGATTAACTGAATGAATGAGGAAGTAATAACTTTTTTTTTTAAAGATAATTAGGTAACTCCTAACATTCAAATGGCCTAATGTGTATTACCATTTGTTGTCTAAACTCTTTGAGAGTGGAGTGCCTCAATCCTAACATTCAGATGACTGGGGGATTACAAATTTTCATAGCAAGCAAAATACAAATTTGATGAGATCATGGACCTTATATCACGTCCTGTACAATGGAAATTAGGCATAATCACATCATCATCAAAGCCTTTTTCCAACTATTTGGGGTCGGCTCCACGAATACATGTCCACTATTCTGCTCTATAAAAAACCACACCCTCAGTAAGCTCCACCATTCTGCTTTATAAAAGCCACACCCTCAATAAGCTCCACCATTCTGCTCTATAAAAAACAACACATTCAGTAAGGTCATAAGTCCCTATATCCTTTTGGGCCTACTCTTTGTCCTTTTTTATCCCTCCACTTGAACCAGCTCACACTTCTTTATAGGTGGTGTTGTATTTGAACCCGCTCGCACTACATTAAGTTATAATTAATCTACACAAATAGACTCATGCATCACCTCTTTATAGGTGTTGTACTTGAACCTGCTCGCACCACATTAAGTTATAGTTAATCTACACAAATAGACTCATGCATCTGCTATAAATGGTTTGGAGGCACAAAAGTATCTGCATGTTAAGTTAATTTTCAAATAGTCATTTCCAATTCCCCAAACCTTACCTCACATTTGAACCATCCATTCAAATAGAACAAATCTGGCTATTTTGGATAAGAAAAAAAACAAACCGCTAACTGTTTTGAGCTCTTCTGCGGGCACAAGGTGGCAGGTCATTGATCCAAAAACTTAATCACCCCAAATTTAGTGAGTTTTCATTCAAGAGGAGTGGATTCAATAAAATACAAGGAAACACAGTTCCACTACCATCCGTTTAAGAATGAGATTGGCTTATTCTGGTGCTGCACAAATAAATACACATCCCAAGAGGTATATGTCCCTCCTAATACATTTAGGAATCCAACTACAAAGTACTAGCTTTCATCTTCTTCAATTCGATCAGGAGAGATAGGAGATAGGGGTGCATCCTGTCTTGATAGAACCTCCGGTTCACCATTAACATTTCTTAATATCTGCAGGAAACCATTAACCGTGAATATTAGAGAGAGAGAGAGCTCAATAAAGCCTAGCCTAACCAGCCCCAAAAAAATGCAAATTGACTGAATCAATATATTGTTTTTGGTGCTTAGCTTAACAAGCAGGAAAAGCATAACATACCAAGATTTCTTCATCCAGATAAGATACCATGATCATTCTTTGGAATGTCCCACCTGCAAAAATAGAATGCATGTACAAATTCAACAGGGATAGTTGCTGGTAGTGTACCTGAGAGAGCCATGGATTATGCAGAGACAAGAGTAATACATAAATTTATGAAGAAGCATAAAAGATGAGAACAAGAACTCCCACAATAATCATGCCCCAGATAGCTAGGTGCCGTAATGATCAAATTAAATAATATTAAGTGTATTGTTTGTTTTTCTTGCTCAGATAGGAAAGTGAAGGATTGAAAGTTTGAAACCCCCAATCTGGTATGTCAAACCAAAATCATCAAATCACCAGCCTATAAGGTTTCAAACAAAATTTTATGGTAAGTTTGGTAGAAAGAACTAGTTAATGGAGCATGAAATTTAAAACTGGTGCCATATAAAGTATCTTTTTCTTGGGTGGATGAAGAGATATAAAGTCATTTCAAACTCATGACATAAAGTCAATGTTTTTTTTAGTTATAGATCTACCATGTATTCATTAACTTCCCATAATCAAATATCCTCTCATAATCAAATAAATCTTTTAAGTTCTTAAGTTTCATGCCACAAAGAAGTACCCATCATAATTTAAAGAAGTTATAATAAAACAGGAAAAAGTGTATATCAGTTTGCAACCTTAAAATGTAGATTTAGAGATGCACATAAAAAATTCACCAGAAAATGTTGTTTTAATGTTGAAAAACCATCTAATTGATCATCTCGACATAGAGATGTATGAATATGAAAAGAAAATAAAAGGATTATGTGTCCAGAAATAGTGCATCTTACAACACATTATCTAGATCATCCATTTTCAAGATTTTGATAAGTTAACATATCTACTTGATTTTAACCATTTTTGGAGTTTAAAATTTTATAATTAGATATGAAAATAGATTTAGAGATAATTCTAAGAATTTTTTACATCAAAATTCCATGTTATGATAAGATTTGGAGGTGCGCCTTAATTGGATTGTTTAAGGTTGCAACGAAAAAAAACCATCATCCCATAAGTGCTAAAAGTTCAAAAAACAGAATCTAAAAACAAGAAGTATGGAAGGCTCCAAAAGAAAAGCATATCCTACTTAATGGGATTTTCAGTCCATTGGAAACAGCATCCTTTATAGAATCAGGTAATCGCTGGAGAGTCCCAGATGCTTGTCCATATGCCCCCTTAAGTTGTTCTGGAATTGCCTGTTCACCAACAGATGGTGGTTCTAACAAACCTTCAACATATTCTTCTCTCAACCGAATTGGTCCCTCAACAGTAAACTTTGTTTTCACAGTGACCTTGCTCTCTATCTGTATTCCACATATTAAACTGCAATAAGCTTTCCACTGATTGACACAGCACTGAATGAATCTAGGTTCCGATGGATATCCAATAAGAGCACCACAAACAAGGGGCAACATGAATAAGGAAGTGCAATAAAAGCAAGAAAGATTAGGATAAGATGGTATGAACTTGCATTAAAGATATAAAAGTTATGCAAACTCAAAAAGGAAGTAACAAATTGGAAGTCAAAAAAAGGAATGTTTGATTTCGCTGCGTGGAAGCTGATCGTAGAAGTGCGGCCTTCCACGCAGCATTTTTTAGCATCACAAGTAGTCCATTTTTGGAACACCGCCCTTCTATCAGATATGATACAAATGCGATCTTCCATAATTTGTTGGAGACCCCATCCCACTCCTGAAATCTCCAGGTGTGTTTTGACATCATAGAAGATAGTAAGAAAAGAGAGTAATAAATATTCAATACCTACAACAATCAATAAAGAAAATTCTAATAAGAAAAATATAATACAAATTAATGAGAAAATTTTCTAGTGTATCTTGTCAAATCCTTGTATAAGTTGAACCTAGCTCTGAACGAATACCATGAAAAGAATGACAGCATTTCATTTTTTATTTCATTGCGTCACGTTCTTATGGGGTAGAAAATTTGGCGGTCAAGAAATAATATACCCATAGTATGAGTATAACTGAGATGATGATGTTGAGATGGATGAGCGGCAAAGCAACAAGGGATAGACTTCGAATTGAATACATTCGGGAGAATTTAGGTGTAGCAACAACAGATAATAAGATGAGAGAAAGTAGACATAGGTGGTCTAGCCATGCGTTCGTAGACCCAGTACAGTACCTGTTAGGAGGTGCGAGTTAGTTTAAGTGAAAGGCTAAAAAAAGGCAAGCGTTAGGCCTAAAAAGACATGGTTGGAAGTAATAAAAAAAGATAAGAGGAATTATGGCCTCACTGACAGTATGACCCTTAATAGAGTAAAAAAGAGGAACAAGAATTAATGTAACCGACCTCAATTAGTTGGGAAAGGCTCTAACAATGACGATGATGGTGCATCACATTCTATATACATCTGTGTCCAACACCATGTTTTCATGCACGGTGACATAATTGGAGAGATGGTTCTCATCTCATCACATATTAGTGATGTCCAATACAATGTTCAAAAGCTAAAAAAAACTTGGCAAACTTCATGATTCCCAAAACTAAGCTGACTTGGCAAGTTTTTCTTTCAACTCGCAAAAAATAGGTTGAGTTTTCCAATTATGAAAAAGTGTGTAAAATTAGAAGTACAAACAGTGGGATTAAAAACTAGGTAAGTCACCAAGCATGTTACACTCCAATGGCTTCATTAAATGTTTTCTGCATGAGTAAAACACAAAAATATTTTGGGGAATGATCCTGTATATTTTAGATACAGTTTTGTACCCTTTCTTTTAGAAAATACCTTTCTGCTCCCCCTCTCTCATGTACCCGAACTAGCACTAATGAAAAACTCTCCCGTCATCATCAAATCTTTGTCCTCTTCCATTTAATACCAAATCCATCCCTCCCTTCCTCTCCAGCAAGGGCACAAGAATTTTTCTGCCATATATATATATATATATTATCAATCTGAATTTTGTTTATGTTGAAGTTTGTGACCTTTAAAGCATGTGAGAGCATGTAAATAAAAAAAACTATAGTGGATTATACACTGAGTGCGTGTTGGTTAAGGTTATGAGGTCTATGACCCGGGTCATGTCCAAAACCTTTACACCTGGGCATATGGAATTACTATGGACGGTTTTTTCATAGTGTTATCATTTGTTGAGGTCAGAGAGATGCCCAAGGATCGTCTGTAGCCAAAGAGCTTCATGGTTTCCTGTGTGCCGATGTAGGCCTGTGAAAGTGAGAGCTAAATCTTCAACAAACTTCCGCATGGAATGTATACAAGACCATAATTATTGGGAGCAGGAATAGGTGTGGGCACAGGAGCCACAGATCATATCTTGGCTGAAGCTCCCTACTCTTGGAGCGCTGCTCAAGGAGCGACCTAGGAAGAATATCCTATACATGCACTCATGTATATGGGATTGTTATTTATATATATTATTGCTATTACTTGAATGATAGTGCTTATACTTAAAAATATGTCCTATCAATTTTTTCATAAGTGATATCTTAAAAATAAAAGAATGAACAATCAATCTTTTAGCATTATCCATACGTTGAACACATGCTAATAAGAACTTTATTGCTAGAAAGTCCAATAAAAAATTACAAAATCCAAAAAAAGAATACACTTAGAGTCTATAGAGTACATATAAGGGTGTATACACATAAGAGCATTCTCAAAATATATAGACATAAACAAATGATAGACACAAGAAAACCACATAATCCAAAAATAGATTTTCTATTATAAATAATATAATTTATATGAATTAAAAGGGCATTTTGTGTTAAAAATATAATATGCGAAAATCTTATTAATAAAATATCAATGAAAAGATTTTAGGAAGTTTCAAACTTTTAAGGTGAGATACAATAAATGCATGAAACGATATTTAATGATTATTTAATAAATGAAAGACATCAAAAAGGCATTTGTAGACACCCAAGTTTGAAATTGGCAAATTCTATGATATTCATGTATCCTTAGGACCACACTATTCCAGAAACTTCCCGAACGATAGACCACCATAGTTCGTGATCCCTATCCTGTGATTCAAAATATTACAGGATCATTGTTTTAGCAATAAATCAAATAAAAATAGCATAAAGCTTATCAGAAATTGCTAAATTTGGTCAAATTTGGGCTGGACACCCAGCCCCTTTGACCCCCAAAATTGATTTCAACTGGCAGATTTGGTTGTTTTTAGAAGGTTATCATTTCATGCGTTTTTTAGCCTTTAAAAGCATATTCTCGAGATCATTTTAGGGGTTAGACTCTTTAGACATGGTTAGCCCGAGAGAGAGAAAACTGGGAAAAAGAGAGACTCCGGAAACCAAAGAGAAAACTTGTGAGAAACCTTAGATATAGGAAAAATTCGAGCAAACCCTAAGCTTAGATCAGATCCAAGAAAACCATTCAACCAAGCCAAGGCTTGGTCAACATTAACGAGAGACAAAGAGGATGCATGATATAAACTCAACCGGTTTTGATACGAGCAAGGCCTCGAAGGCTTGGGAGTCCTAGGCCAATTGACACGGTCTAGTTTTTTTTTTTACCTTTTCTGCATTTCTTTTATTTTATTTATTTATTTTATTAAAATTAAGTCTGTTTTATTGTATTTTATGTTGTGTTTCGTATTTCAAATCAATACTGGCTCTGCCACTGATCTGAGAGCAGATCTGCTCATTTATGAGTAGATCTGGTCTTAGATTAAAATTTGATTGTCCTCACTCTCTATCACTCTTGAACAAACAAGTTTGTGGTTTTGATCTGAGCGATCGCCATTCAGAGATAATTCCAATCTGCACCGTAAACAGCATTACGAAATCCAAGAAAAGATATTCTACTATAAAAAAAATCAATGAAAAATGTTATCATTTTCATATACATTCAAATAAAATAAAATAAAATAAAGGTTAGTCAATTGAGTAAACCCTTTTGAAAGGTACATAAGGCATTGTGTGTAAAAAATATAATGTATTAAGATCTTAAGAATTAAAAATGAAGGAAAATATTTTAGGGGAGATTTGAAGTGAGATGTAATAGACGCATGAAATGACATTAAATTGATTATTTAAAGGACAAGATTTTAGAGAATATTTGGATTGAGATACAATAAATGCATGAAAAATGACACAAAAAGCATTACAAAATCCACAATATATATATATATATATATATATATATATATATATATATATATACTAACTAAGTAATTAATAAGTAAATAAAGAAAGTAAAAAACGAAAATAAATAATAAGTAATTACTACTACTATATAATATACTAGTAGTATA